TCTCTCTCTCTCTCTCTCTCTCTCTCTCTCTCTCTCTCTCTCTTTCTCTCGCTCACTCTCATCCTCTCTCTCTCTCTTTCTATCACACAAGATTAGTAATGAAGTCTAACGCGTTACATCGTACGTAGATGAACATTCAATGCAAGTAAGAACGACGTCAGAATATATGTAATAGAAATTACGGCTACGTTTACACGATTAGTTATATCCAAGAGTACACGTGTCCTCGGATTCATTTTCCTCCGAATAAACGACAGATCTAGTTTTGACTGCGTGACACCGAGTTTTCCCGAAGAAAAAAGATCGCGACTTACTTTGTGTTGGATATATATATGTATGTATGTATATATGAACTACGCGCGGCACTGCAGAAGTGCACAATTATTTTTGTTTTTTGTGAAAGTGTGTGTTCCCGTATGTTCGCTACGAATATATATGCATGCATAGCTTTACGCGATATTTCATCAGTCATACGTAGGTACATATCGCAACGGAGAGCAAAAAGTAGTTTTCGCGAAAATAGTGTAATTCACATTTTTCAAAATGCGGAGAAAAATCAAATTCGTTTTGTATAATAATTTTTAATGTTTGTAGTTTCCAGTCGAAAGAGAGTAACTGCGTGTTAGCGCGTACACTCGAAAAAAAAAAAAATGTCGCCGATAAACATTTCTCACAAGAGACATAATTGCTAACGTCCAGCAGTAAATCGCAAAAGTAATTTGGCGCAATATGTAGGTGAAAAAAAGAAAAAAAACTTAACTCTCGAAGTAGCAAAAAAAAATTGAAGAACTGTGCCGTGTAAATCTTACTCGTTTGAAAGTAAACTCGAGATGTATTTTTTACACAGATGTATAAAAAGCGCGCTCGAGATAAAGCGCGTCTGCAAATGAGAGTGTATACGCGATCATTGTAAAACAAAAAACAAAAAAAAAAAAAAAGAAGAAGAAAACAGATCGAAAGATTTTAGAGCGCATTTGCTCGAGTTACAATCCGGATAAATGATAATACAGTAAGGCCATTAATCACTGCCTAAGTGTGTTAAAGGGCGAGATATCTTTCTGTCGAGTAAGATTGGACTCTTGCGGAAATTACACGGCATAGAGTCGATTCGTCGATATTACAGGGCCGAGCGAATTGAAGCTACGCGAGGACCGAGAAAGAGAAACCCGTACATTATGTGTACCGTTTACGGCCTGTGATTGAGCCTTCGACAGATCAAGATCAGCGTATTGACATATCGATCTGGCAGTGCCGATGTTCCTCAAGAGATTAAATTTATCGGCTAATACGCGACATCGCACTTAACTCTCGCGAGACCGGAATTCCGTCCCGTTCCTCGATCCGCGATTGAACTTCCACTAATCAATTTCCGCAATGAAATTGAATCCCCGCCTGTGCGTGAAATGCGAGAGCAAACATTACATTTTGTTATTAAGCGTGCGCTAAAGATTACAATTGCTTTTTTTCGTCTTGAGACACGCGCGGTCGAAAAACAACGCGTCGGTAGTAATTTTTCCGTTGATTAAACTCAGAGCGAAAGAAAAATATGCGCGTAACAATCTGGCCAGACGTGACGCAATATCGAAGTTACGCAATACGAGAGAGAGTTAATAACTCAACCGGTTATTTGGAACCACCCGGGATTCTGAATACCCTGATGAATGTTTTTCACGACTTCCTCTCTCTCTCTCTCTCTCTCTCTCTCTCTCTCTCTCTCTCTCTCTCTTCGGTGCGAGAAACGTACGTCAAACGTCAAACGGGGCGGAATATTTCCGCCGACCATGAAATAGATCGACGAAAGCGGACGTAAACAGAGTTTACGATCGCCCTTGGACAAACGTAGCCGAAGGATATTCCGGCATGCGAGAGTTGAGTCGTGTGGCAAACCCATACACGGCATGATAAAAAGTCAATTAGATTACTATATAGTTTAGATACGATTCGCGTGTAAGGTATGCGGAATATAAGAGAGAGATACGCGTGCGATAAGAAATATATGTATATCGGTAAGATATACCGAGAGAGTGTAGGAAGATACGGGGGATAAAAAAGCGCAAGTCTGAAGATGCGCATAGAAAAATAGAAAATCGTTTAGATTGCAAGAATAGCGCGCGAAGCGGGCTTCGAAAATCACACGCCGCGTAAATATTTCCTTATTACGTGTTTGTAATATCGATTTTTGGAATTGACTTTATTATATATATATCTTCGTCACAAACAACTTTTCTAACAAATTTAATTCAATCAAAGAACAAATGCGCGACACTGGAATTTATTTTATACACGTCAATGATCACTCTCTTGAGAGAGAGCGACGCTGTTGTTTGCGTTTGTTATCTAAAAAATACGAATGTAATAAAATTATTAATATCAAGTATCAATTATACATTATTTAGGAAAATATATATATATATGTATTCTGAGGTCTCGTATGTTCACCCCGTGTTTGTGAGTAAGAACAATAGAGAGGAGATTCAATGCTTAAATCGTGCTTGATTTGACTTGCCATTAGAGCGTGAACGGTTCGCTACGGAAACGCTATTAATAACGGTACGACGGAAATTGACGCACATTTCCGCACAATTGCGCGCGCGCGTGCGTGCATGCGTGCGTGAGCACGCGAGCGTGGGCGCGTATGTCGCGTATGTGCGTGTATTAAAGTATGTTACGCGTGTATTTCCCTATGCGGCGAAAAGGTAATGTAGGTAGAAAGCGTAGGACAACACCGAGAGACGCAAACAACGGCTCCTCTATTAATGTAATGCACTTTAGGTCCGTTCGTTCGTAAGCATTATAAAATTCTTCTGTTACTACGTACGCAACTTTGTTCATTTTTTTTTTTTTGTCTTTTTTTTCGTAAAAGGAAACTCTTATTACGTCGATTGTCAATGCTGCACTTTCTATTCAAAGAGGAGAGAGTTGCGATGTCCCGTTCCCCCCGGTATTTATGGTCGAAATATCCGTCGTGAATTTACGAATCGAATGTCTCAATTTGACAAGTTATAGCTTGTTGAGACGCGAATGCGTATTATATTAGCTCTGTGTAAACCAACCACAATGCGAATGCGCCTATTTTTTGGATCTTGCACATTGGTAACGATATTCGTTCTCGCCGACTTTAAGTTTAGCAATAACGTATTATCAATTTTTTTTTTTTTAATATTGCACGCATTTAATTTTGCCACATCTCAAACTAAAAGATTTTACTGAACAAAGAGTTTTCGCGCGTGTGTGAAATGTTCGTGTTTACATTTAGAGAATAAGGAAAATAACTGATCAATTGCCAGTGGGCAAGACCGCTCTGATGAATTGGTACACAGGAAGAAGGTTCCTCTATACACATAGAATATATATTGTATATATATGTATATAATATATTAATAATATATTAATACGTTTTTTTATCGTATATATGTGTATATATAATAAAACATATTAGGACGAGGCACTTGAAATTATTGCCTCCAATTACTCGCTCGTGAAGCACTCGTTTGTACGACAATAAACGTTTTCAAACAAACAATTTACATTTGTATGCGGCTCCTAGATATGTAAATAAAAAAGTAATTATATTGTGTGTCTTTCCATCACGCAATGTCGTTTTTTTTTTAATTATTAAAAACAAATTTTTTTCATACAACGAGTAATTCACAAGTAAATTTGAAGTAATAATTTCAATTACCTCCCTCTTCCTCATTCTCTCTTTCTCTCTCTCTTTTTTTATACATATATATTTCGAAATATTGTATGTTAAGTAATGGATAGAGAGCTCTTTCTGTGTTCCTTTATTTAAAATTGACTTACTTATAGTTGGTAGTTGTTCTAAAGCACGTATAGAGAATGAAACGTGAAACGAGAAGACCCCCTTACACGTCATGAAAGGAGCCGATGATATGTACCCTAGTCTAATAATAAATACATGCAAGCGTCACAAGTCATGAATCTTGATATCGCGCGGATCCGTTCGTTCGATCTACTTCGCGAAAAAAATCAATCAAGTTTGCTAGTTTTTTTTTCTCACTAACAACGCAATTGTATACAGTGAATCGTGTCAATTAATTTTAACTTTGTGCATTAATGCCGCAAAACTAAAACTGCAAGAAAGAACTAAACCGACCGAAAATTAAATCGAGCTAACTGAATTTCTTTCTGATAAAAATTCTACCGCGTGAGGTCAAAGAATTCTGAAAAACAATCGAACGAAGAGATTTTTTTTTCTGTGAAACTCATAAACGAGAATGAAATTGTCAGGTATGAGTTAACATTTTTTTTTTATAATAAAAATTCCGCTGCGTCACAAAAAAAGGAATTTTTGATACAATTTTTATTATTCCGCAACAATGCGTTTGAAAAATTTTAAGCTTTTATTTGTACGATTTCATTCAAAAAGCAATTGTGCCGGAGATCGATTAAACGTAAAGAAATCTGAAAAGCACAACAAAGAACGAACGTGGGAAAGAATGTTTGGCCGCGCGGCTAAATCGCACAAAAAGCGCATTGTCCTATGAAATAGGCGCAATTGGTCGAATGCTATTACTAGTAAATGCTATATAGCTTATCACCTCTTCAGAACAAATGTACGCGAGTCGAGCAGTTAGATGTACCTTTTCTCGCGATTACCGCGATCCATTTGAGACACACGATCTACGGAAATGTAAAGTTTTTTTTTACTATCCGTTTTACAATTACGTCTACACATTCTGCCAGAAGAGAGAAAATAAATTAAAGACAGAAAGCTCTCGCGAAAATATCTTCGTTTCGCGATGCAAGTTTTTTATCAGAGTTTTTTTTTATTAGAAATAATTGAGTAACAGTGTTTTTTACTTGTCGTTGTTTTTTTAAACATATATACGTATGTATATATGAAAGAGGTGCGAAGACTTTTTTTTCAGTGATCGTATTGCGTTTTAAGTTACTTGGAGAAAGAGTCGAAAAACTAGAAAGAAGTGTTTGTTTTCCCTCAAAGAGCAGCACCGCTCATCGCGAGTAGATGTCTTTGTCATCAGTGTGTCGCGTTTAAGTTAGAGCTTGATTTGTTCGTTCCTTCATCATGATACGAGAGAGAGATGTCAGTTAAACGTAGCTACTTCGCTCTCGGTTTGCGCACAAGAAAAACGACGAGCAATAATTCGTTTTTTTGTCTTTTTTTTTTTTTGTTTTGTTTTGTTTTTTGAGGACTGAAAGTGGAAGTGTATTGAGTGTGAAATCCATCGAAATCTTTCAACACAAACATACATATACGGATAAAAAGAAAGAGAGAAAAAGGGAGAGATTATTACGTAGGAACAATATTTGTTTCTAGAAAATGATGTTCGCGAGTAAATTCAAAAGTTTGTACGTCAAAGAGCATCTGCGACTTAATTTTACAGAACAAACAGATTTTATCCCACTTACGTTACAAATAAATTGCATAAAACGTCATCTGTGAATTCAATTACGAAGTTATTCACAACAAGTTATTCACGGATTGAGCAATTGTTATTCTCAATAAGAAAATGGCGCGCGCAAACAATCGACTTTGCACAATAATCCGCGAAATTATGTAAAATCTTGACTATCGGAAATTTTACTCGCTTTATCCACTTTTTACTGGTTTTTTTACTTGCCGTTTATCGAAATCCACAGAATACCGTATGTATAACCAAAAAAAGTGAATTTCTCTGATAAGCACGCGCGCGACAAACAAAAAAATACGACCCTTATTGTAAATATTATTCTACATTATTTGTGTTGTAACAATGTCGATATATGAAATATCAATTTTGGCGAGGAATAACGCACGCGCTGATCGACGTTTTTCAACCAACGTCAAACTTGGTTGCTTTAATCTCTCTTTCTCTCTCCATTTCTCTCTTTTTTTCTCTCGCGTTCTCTCATTCTCACTCTTATTTTCAGGATGCACCATTATAAAATTAATATATTTTTTTTCTTAAGCGATTCCCTTATCTAATCGACATTACCTTGTAATTCGCAATTCGTTGTGTTACCACCTCACGCGAGTGCGTAATGTCATCACCATCATCACAGACGACGGCTCGTATCACCTTTCGCAACACGTCGATCTTACGACCTGCGATCGATAACACGCAGGTCTGGAAAAAAAAGAGGGTCGTACACGACCAACTGCGCAGTTCGCGTCTTTTGCGAACACACTCATACACACACACACACACAAGCCTCTCACTCGTTAATACCACGAGGCCTGGGTTTTTTTGTTTTCGTAAATTTTTTTTATCGTACTTTTCTACTTCTGATTCTACACATCAAATTCTGTTCTTGTTCCGGCTTCATTGCGATATGATAAGATCGCCTAAACTTCAAGCTAGTTGCACCAACTTCAAATAGTTCTAACGTTAAAATTAGCTCTAATTAATCCTCTGACGCTATATGACGCATTTTTCTCTCTTTTATTTTATTCTCAAAGCTCTATACACGATCCAATGTAGAAATCATATAAATAAACCTCGATATGTAAACTTCTACTATAGTTCGATCTGATAGATGCAAAGCTGGCGCATAACGAAATGACGCATAATAGAATGGAATGAAGACTAACTACGACCGTTGTATTCAAATTAGAGATTATTAGAGATTGATAAACGCACACAAAGCGACAGGATATCAAAACGACGCATTATCCAACAATTTAAAGTTTTGAGAAGATTTGCCTTTAGATTCAAATCAGGTTATATCTCTCTTCTCTAATCATCCAAGTTCAAGTAGTTTTTAAACTTATTTAAACACAATACACATACAAATATAAATGTATTTTAATTAATATATTATAGTGTTGAGCACTTATGCAAATCAATGCTTGGCTCTTTTGATCGTATTATTGTTATTATTGTTAATTATTCGTATTTGAAGTCGTTTAAATATATTCGAGATTTATTTATATATGCACAAAAAATGTGCTTTATCCTGTTATACCTTGCACAGTATCATATTACAGTAGATCGACTGATCGTGAGCTCTACACCAATCGAACAGTCTACATCGAAGCAAAAAACTTTTACGATACGCCAGTCAATCATCGTTTACGCCGATTTGTGCTATAATAAAATAAGAGCGCTCGTGAAAACAATAGGATTCGTCGATTAAGATTATCACCGCAAAACTGACGAAACTTCCTATTGATTTAAATTTAGAAGAAACGCGGAAGCGAGATGTTAATATCGTCGAAAGTCACATCGACGACAAGCAACGTTACACAGAGCTACGCACATAGTAGCAAAGTATTTCTGAGACAACCTTCCGAAGCATATCAGAGGATTAACTATATTTCTACTCTTCGTCTGCGTAATTAAGTGGAACAATAATTCGAAGTAAGATTGATATATAGATTATTTGTCCGAGATCAGGTAAACCGAATTGTCGGTGCAAGCCGTGGGCTTCGAAAACTGCTGCTGCTGCTGCTGCTGCAATTCTTCTGACGACCAACGTTGTTACCTTCACCTGAGTTGGATGCGTTTTTTCCGTCGCACTAATTTTTACTGACACAACAGTTCGACGAAATTCCTGGAATCTGGATGACAAAATGGCGAGGAAATCTCGCCAGTAGTAGTTGTCGACGTGTGAAAGCTTTGTGTGAAACGGAAATAATCATAAGACCATCCACATCGAATCAATCACACTCCTCATTATCCGTCATTCTCGGTTTTCCACTCTCCGTGCTTGCAAGACTTGTTTCGTTTTTTTTTTTTTTTTTTTTTTTTTTTTTTTTGGTTTTTGTTTTTTGTTTCTTGTTTTAAAGCTCATTACCGGGATTGTCGCTTCGTCACAATCGTCCAAGTGAAAATTTAAGTACGCAATTCCGATATTTCCGGAAATGTTTTCTTCTTTTTCAGATGATTTCGCACAAAGATAGCAGATAGTAGTACTTAATTCGAATCATTGTCCTTCTTTTGTTTGTTTTTTTTTAATCTAGCGATCATTCAATCTCTCGATTGTTCTTCGTCATCAGTATTCCTCGTTATTACAACTTGGGTCCCCGAACCAATGATAGCGTACGTCTTTATTTAATAAATTATCATTGGTACGTGTGACATGCTTTGTAATGGGTGATAATTAATGTATGTGTTTATTATGCGAGTGCTGAGATTTCTCAGTGGTGTTTCTGCTTCGTGGTGCTGGCGTTGGCATTTCCGTTCTGAAAAAGTCGTGCGAGCGTGGTGGTCTTTACGTTTACGATCGCGCGTCAAAACGGCTCGTTCTCCAAAGTGAAACGACGTCGGGATTAAGGAGCGAGCATCTTCGAAAGTTCCTCGTCCTGCAGGCAACCCTTCAGGAATTCTTCCTGCGTCAGCTGTCCGTCGTTATTCTCGTCCATCTTCGCAAAAATGTTTTTCGCCCGCTCTTCCGCGCTGTCCGCTGGTCTACTGCTCGAACACGCGCCGAGCATGTCGTATATAGCCTGGGAACAAAAGAACAACACTTTTTGTGTTTCCCTATGTAACATTCAGGCTCACCTAGAAATTGCAGTGTTTTTGTTTTTTTGGAAGAGATAAACTAGCCCAAATGTCCCTCGCTGGTCCCGAGTCAGCGACAATTATCCATGCTATGTGTAGTATAAGATTTTTTTTTTGTAAAGTAAAACGTATCACATTATAACAAGCGCGACAAAAAACACAGTATTACGTAAAAATATCTACATATAATACATTTTTGTATATTTTTCATTTTAATTTCATATTTCTCTCTCGCTTGATTTCTCAATCAATGACAAATAAATTTTTTTCTAAAATTTAAATGGCTACCGAATAGAAAATGTTTAAAACTTGAGAAAGTTCTTATTTCACAGTTAACTAGCAGAAACAAAAAATGATAATTGTATGTCCATATCTTTTTAAAGTCAATACGCGCTTCGTCTATTTTTTCGTGCTGTTATAGTAAATGTAAATAATTCGCATTAAAATTAAATAAAAACTGTGTTAAGTAAGAAGTCTTAAAATTACTAAAACCATTCAAAGTCTTAACTATTTGTAATATGATCCTCTTTGAAGATAGTCTGCCTCACATTCAGGGATAATTAGCAACTCTGGATTATAAATTATATCGTGTCCCGATTTTCGAAATTTATTCCGACACATTATTTATTCACAAAATAATTCTTTACTTTTGTCTCGTATACACATTTACAAAATGGGTTTCATGTGTTACTAGATCGTGTGTATTTCGTTGTGAAATAAATTTATATTATTATATAATTTATTCACATTATTATTAATATCTTGTTTATTTGTTTCGCCACAAGTGAAACATCAGTGAAAAACATCAACATGCAACTATGCATTGCCAACAACATAAAATGTATAATTCATGTAATTGTCACTGAGATGTTACGTATAATTGTTAATTTCTCATGCTTTATTTCGTATTTAAAGTTACGTTTGCACAATTTTATTTGCAACACACACAATAAAATCGTCAATTTGTATAAATATTAAAATCGTAAACATTCACCGCTTTGCTGTTACATATTAAAAACTGATTACTTCATCGCTTCGTTCGTCGCATGCGGAACGTGTGACCGCAATTTAACAAAACGCAATTCATTAAACACAACGTTGCGTTAAAAAAATTTTATACTGTTTGTACGGTCACTTGATTGCGAGAACTCGCGAAAGTATTTCGATCATTTATTCAAAAATCAAATGGGACAAAATAATAATGAAGTCTTCCCATGTTTGGTATTTTCCAAGTAATGCGTATACTATCGAGTGGAACAGCCGTACGACTACGCCGACATCTGTTTCGCGGCAAAGGGGGGTTCATGAAATATTACCGCTGCAGTATCTCCGCTCCGGTGTGCGGTCTATATGCGCGAAAAAACCTGCAGAGACCCACTGGAAGATGATGGCGGAAGAAAACAGTTTGTGTGATTTACGATCCGCACAATCGTCTCTCAATTAACTCTCAAGCAAATCGGTCGAGATCAGCTGAATCGAATTGCACGTAATCTCCCCCCATCGGGATCGAACCTTGGAGAATTGAGACTTTTCGAAAAGGTCTCAGTTATTAAGTAAAACACGCGCGCGCGCGCGCGCGTGTGTGTTATACTGACTCTCTATCATATTATTACATGGAATTACTCTCTCATTGATTGATCGTGCCGCCAAGTAATGACGTCAAGTGATAAAAAAATTTCATATTCCGTCGTGAGCGCCGCGGTCGAGAGTGCAAATAGAGATAAGTAAAAGCACATGCATTATTCATAAGTTACAGTACCTGGACGATCTTCGTCATCTCTTGCATATCGATAACGCCGTTGCCATCGACGTCGTACATACGAAACGCCCATTTCAGCTTTTCTTCCGGCGTGCCGCTGGACGTTACATCGATCGCCAGTAGAAATTCCTGCAACAAAGCGAACATCATCTCACATCAGTAAACACGTGCGTTCGAGCACAAAATATAAAAACTTCGATATTTCTTACAAAGAAATTATTCTCCTCTTACGCGAGATAAAAAAAAATATATAATGTAAAATAACATGAAAGAAAGAAATTTGCGCGATTCAAAACTATCACAACTCGACTAGCACGAGAGTTCTAAAAGTCAATAAGAACCAATGCAGATGTTGGGACGCGTCAATACACTTGCGACATCAGATCCCAACAATTTTGATTCTGATTTTTGGAAGTGTGCTAATTTGCAAGGGATTAAACATGTACGTGTGTATCGCGTGAAAGAATTTTTCAAGAACATATTTTGCTACACGCTCAAGCACGCGCGCTTGAATAGTGACTGTTTTCACCAGCATGTGTACACAGAAATGACACTGTGTTGTACATTGAGTGTTTCAACCATGACACGATGTTGCACGCAGCGTGCTCGACATAGAAAAAACTTAAGTACAAGCGTGAGTGTAAAGTGTTTCAGCAAAAAAATGATATGTGGGGTAAAAAAACACTCAATGATTGGCACTCTCAAGACCTGTCGAATTTGTTTCTTCAAAAGTGCCAAAGGACTCTAAAATAAATGTCAAGTAAAAAGAAATAATCACAGACAAAAAAATGTCAACAACTAGAAAAAAAAAAAAAATCAATAAGTGCCAATCATTGAGGAGAGGTGCTAGGTTTGGTTACATGTGTTGTCAAAAAACAATTTAATTATTTTAACGCATTTAACGTATTTGATTGCCAGGTATTTTAATAAATTATATCCCTTGAAAACATAATGTATTGCATTTTGACGAATTAGTGCGGTGTACGCATGCGCCGAATCGATACAAGCCCGAAGCTTTTGATAAGTGTGTTATACGATATAATGTGATTTAGCGTATTCTGGAAACCAATCGCGGTAATAATAATCGATATAAATAAATGTGTTGTGTATCTTTGATTTTTTTACTGCGCGTTCTTTTTATTTAAGGACTTCCGCGTCTCTCAAAATCGTCTCGTTACGCTTTTAATATTGCAGATATGACGTTATCGATCACCACTTCTCGTTACTGACGTCGTTCGCAAAAATTATGGTTTTTTTTTTTTTTTTTTTTACGAGCGAACGCCATCGAATAAGATCCGTTAATGCGTAAAAGCTCGTGCTACCGTCATCCATATACATAGTGAGCAAATTTGTCGAAATCAAATTCACGCAACTACATCCTCCGGTATTAAGTCCGATGATACCCTACCGAGCATCTGGGGTCGTTAGACAGGAGTAATATGTTTCGGGGCAAAACTAGGTCACCTGCCGCCCGAGGTAGACAAACGAGACACGAACTTTATGGACGCGAACGGATGGTGGACCGGGCTCTTTGCTCTTCTTGACCCCTCAAGTGTCACTACTTCTCGGTGTTGACCACGGAAGGAGAAAAAGAGATAAATAAAAAAAAAAACGAGATAGGTAGACAGAGAGTGAAAAAAGAAGAGAGACAGACACGTTCATTCTTTCTTCGACTAGCTTTTGCTCGCATTTATTTTAAATTCAGCTTAGATTTCGCAAAAAGAGAAAAATTCTTACGCCATTGGGGAAATAAAGGTGGACAACGAAGAGAGAGAGAGAGAGAGAAAGATAGATCGATAGATAGAGAGACAACATATTTGCGTTGTCTTTTAGCCGATCTCTACAGACACTATATGCTCTGTGAGATCCCATTGAAACTGCCAAACACCATCCTCTACTTCGAAATCGAACGGACAATAAGCTCAAAATTACAAACTTATGTGAGGTCTTGAACAAATACGGATTAAAGCTTTTCTACAAATTAAAGCTTTTAAGCTCGTTGCTCGGAGCAAGAATTCGCAATTTTCTACTTGAGAAGAGAGTAGGACGGAGACGTGACTATATACCAGGCAACCAGGTTTGGGTTTTGAGCTGCAATCTCCTTGAGCGCTGTACACCATCTTAATGTGTATAGATAAAAGAAAACTAAAACTGCTTGATTTTAGAGAAATCTCTCTGTTATTGCGTCAATACTCTCCGTAGATGTAGATAAGAATCCCTTCATCCACTCTCTTACGAAGAAGAAAAAGTTTCCGTCAAATAAAAGAAATTCATTAGTTCTCGATCAGGTCACAATTTTTTTTTACGAGACCGAAAGATACGCATGGATGAAGAGGTACGAGACGAATGTTCAAAAAAGATTAATTAAAATGATAGCACATCTCATACGTAATTGTCTTTTTTTAGCCTCTTTTTCAACGCTATAAACACGCTTGCAAAAGTCGCACTCGAGTGCGGTGCAAAACGTCATTTTGAAATCGAAAAATTATGTAGCAAAGAACGAGCTATTATGAGTGCAAGAAGACAACGTGATTCTCGACTGCAAAGAGAAAGAGAGAAAGAGTGTGTGTGTGTGTGTGTGTGTGTAGGGACAAGTGAAAAGTCGTGCATTGAAGGCGTCGAAGGATGGCTTCTCTATGGCGAATCGCAGTCGCTTTGATCAATGATGCATTGCAAAATCACTTCACAAAGCACACCGTTAGAGAACCCGAAGTTTTATCCGGCGTATTTGGGTCAGATGTCAAGTAGCTATTGGACAACTGGCTGTGTATGTACACGTGTATGTATATTGCGTATATTATAAATTGCAGACAAACTGCGAATATTACCGTGTCTATTATGTACTTAGAAGAGTTCGCGAGAGAGAAAGAGAGAGAGAGACGAGAAGTAATATTATACCTCTAAAATTTCGAGTTTCGAATCGACGCGAAGGGAATGCTGGTTATTTACACCGTGACGCGCAAATAGCATTGCCACCATCCCGTGCAAAACGAAGCAATTAAAGCGCAACTTCATGAATATCGCGCAGTCGGGTATTAAAAACAATCGTGCAATTTATAAAAGGATCTTTTCTGAGGATTCGCGTCGTATTTATCGAGCGCGTATTTAAACGAATTGAATGTCTCCTCTCTCTCTCTCTCCCCTAAATGTCTCTTCTTCTTGCGCCTCTTCTTGTGCCAAGATGAGGAAGTCACATTTTATATATCGTACTAGAAAATCTCACGGTAGACCGATCGCTTTTTTTCCCTGCTTGTATTCCGAACTACGTTTTCCGAGAAAATAATCACGGACTCCCGCAATACCGGATTTAATCATCTCGCATGAGTAATATTGTTCACGTTGCGAAAGTAAGCCGAGAAAGATTCGCGATGAAGACGCGCGTTGTGTGACGTCTATCAATATCGATTTCTTCGAACTAATCAAGCGGCACGAATTTCGTTTTCGACGATCGAACGTGTTTAAATCACGCGGAATAATCGACATGTGACAAGCGCATCACGCAAAATGTATCTTCCTTCTTTTTCCTCGTCTTCTTCTTCTCTTTCTTCTTCTTCTTCTACGAATCGTTCATGCTTGAGACTTGACAATCGTGACGTGATTTGTAAGAGCAGATGCGACTATCCACAAAGAACAAAGTTGAAAAGAACTAACCTTAAAATCAATATAGCCATTCTTGTCCATGTCGAATGTGCGGAAAACGTGATCGCAAAATTCCTCCGCGTTGCCAGACGGGAAGAACATTTTGTACATGTCGACGAATTTCGCCGGCGTTAATCTGCCGTTGGGACAGTCTTGCTGCAACATTAAAAACAAGCCGCGAGATCAAATGAAGTGAATATTTTGACGGAACGATTTGTTTTCTTCGCAACGTTTACGTTTCATTTTTGAAAATTGCAACTTTTAGCAACTTACAAAAAATGATAGATTGAGCAGAAGAAAAGTCATTCGTTTTTATTTATATACGTATCTATAAGAAATAGCAGTAAATTTTCTCCTTCACTTTCGTATGTTTTTTTCTTAGGTATCGACACTTATGTAAATATGTAATAACACCTGTGCCCAAATAAAATACATCTATATTTGATCGTATATCGATTCTAAATATTACGAACGATGTATTTTTACCTAAAAGATCTCAACCTCTCTCGCTCGCACCATCTAAATTCGAATCTGTATCAGATCTGATGTTGCTGTATTTGTTAGTTTGATCGCTAAAATCAGCACCCCGGGAATTATACATTCCCCAAGCGATTTAAGAGTGTAAAAATATAGGTTTTATCATAAAAATACGAGCCAAGCTTAATCTCTCTATTATAGACGAATAAAAATACTGCGAAAATTAAATTTCTTCTCTTCGCACTCTAAATTTAGAGATTTTACTAAAGATAGAACATACATTCGCTCTCTTGCTCTCAGAAATTTTATCGATCTATGCTACGAGAGAGACATCTCCGCGCAGCCTTTGTCGACTGTGTGAATAAAGTTCTCGACTTGGAAAAAGAGATCGCGTTGTTTTGTCACGTTACGCGCAGCGCTTTTTTCACGCCTCTCAAATCGGAAAATTATCCCAGAACGTCGTCTGTCACAAAAAGCGTTTTTTTTTTTTAAACGACGTTGTTTTCATGATATTTTGCAATCTCCAGTCAACTACGCGCGACGGCAGCGATCAGAGATTTCATTTATTTCAATTCGAGTCGCGTGTGATTCAATGCGGCACATTGAGGCCGAGATCGGATTGCGGAACGTTCACTAACGATTCCGCTTAGTTTAATTAGTTTCGAGGCGCCGCCGCGTCAGTTCTGCTGGATTCGCGCCCATTTAAACTGCACAGAAAAGTACGTGCGCGCAACTTTTCCACGGCACAGCAGCTTCCGCGAAAATGTCATGTTCTATCCACGGTGAAATTCGCGCGAAGCAACTCGTGCGAATCGGATCACCGACCAGAAGTATCGTAAAATCGAAATTGATTTATCTCGTGAGAAAACTCATCTGAAACTTACATGATTTTGGCGTCTGACTTTTTTTAAAAATTAAAAACATTCACGTCGGAAAAACGTTAGCAAGTACTTTGTTTGTGCACATGGTTGCTCGTAAGTAATGATACTTTTATTATTTTAGTTTGTGCATAAAAAACTACATTACCTGACGTATAAATATTTAAAAAACTGCCTCGATCTTCCGAAACTTAACTCAACCCTGACCACACAAACACACTGTGTTCACGTGTTTTAAAAGTATAAACTCGACTGCTTCTCTTGTTTGCTTTTTTTTCAATTCAAAAAAACGCATTTGAAACACTTTTCTAATGAAAACATTTTCCAACTTGACCTAATCGGATGACCTCCACTAAATAGAAAGCCAAATGTTTTGAAACCAAAAAAAAAAAAGAACGAAAAAGCTTCTTTCCAAATGTTACACCTGCTTTGTGTAAATAATCTTTTCTTTAACACAATAACATTTCGTATACTTATACAAAGTATAGTACATTTCACACAAATTTAATCATTATGATATATATATATTTCCTTTATATTTATTATAAAAAAAAATCTTTACTTATAAAAGATCAATGCGACGTGTCTAAATTCTAAACGTGAAAGAAATCAGGTTTTGATTTATTCGAAACCAGAGACTTTCATTAATTCAATGCAAACATCACTTTGAGTTTTTACTTACTTTGAAACCTTTGTACCATTCCTTTATGGTGGCCTCGTCGTATCGCGTGTGCGATTTAAGGAAATCCATATCCTCCTTACTCAACTTATCTTTGCTCCCGAAACAACCCATTTTGATATCTGCAACAAGCGTAAAATATATTCCTAACTATTAATTGTTCACATCTTATACAAATCTACTTAAAATTCACATGTGCGTATAAAGTAAAAATTAATTCAATATTTTTTGCTATTCAAGATAAGCAGAATCTCGTTAAGTAATTAAGTTAGGTAACGTAATATCTGGGAAGAAGAATTTATTTTTACACTCGGGGGTATTTACTCAAATACAAAATGAAATTATAACATGTCAAATTTGCATGTGTGTGTGTGTGTAAAAAAGAGAGAGAGAGAGAGAGAGAGAGAGAGAGAGAGAGAGAGAGAGAGAGAGCAAAATATTTTTACTGTATAAAATACGTTTGCAATGTCCTAGAAAAAAAATAGCTTTTAAAAACTCGATTTTCGTCCATAATAATACGTCCGGAAAATAGACATAATATTCACGAACGGTAGATTTCTAGTTAGATTTTGCGAAAATACGTATAACTCTGATATCTCAATGCGGCGATCTTAAAATGCCAGTGCCTTATTATTAAAGAACATAAAATGTAGCGATTTTTGATAACAACTACACAGAAAATCTTCCGCTTGTAACAGCCGCGAAAGATGCTGTTTTCAAGATATCGTATATTGCGGCGTATATTCACACGCATTTAACGTGACCTGCGTGATGCTTCTCGATTGCACGCTTGGCGGAAACACGACATTGGTATAGAGAAGATCGAAATCGAACGAAATGACAATAACAAACGCTACAAGCGTTTTCGCTTTACGAAGAAATACATATGTAGCAGTTTTTTGATGCGGAATTTACACACGCTCTCAAATTGCTTATACAACGCGCGCGAAGAAGTCGGATTTAATATTGCGTTAAGTATATATATATATATATGTGTGTGTGTGTGTGTGTGTGTGTCTCATTACCCTTTATAAATATAAACCTTAATGCATTTCCGACAAAAGGATTTATAATGAGACGCGGCTAAAATTACGCAAATAATTCTTAACCGCAAATTTAATTATACAAGTTCTTTGTAATTATACTCGCGTATATATACATATATATGTATATATAAAATTATATTTCGTTCTGGGTTTTTACGCTTTTAGTGTTTTGTTTTTCCGCGCAGTTTTCGTAGTTCTAGTTTTAAATTAAAAAAAAAACACGTCAAAATCGAAAGATTGACCATTTTGTCTCGTTATTCCGTTGCGTTCGAAACGACTGAAGAGATTTTCGTCGTAACAATTTTAATGTACAGTAAAAGCATTAAAGTTCATCACTTTCGCACACTCGCCAGTAAAAATATGTCTGCAATAATTTAAAGTTACTATATACTCTCAAATAAAAATACAAATGTATATTTGCTGACAAGATATTACACACCCGTTTACTTGTAAAAGAATAAGCGATTGTTGATTTCACGCTTTACCCGTACGCGTTGTTGTGTAGTTGTATTTTTCATCTGTATATATCGCATCATTTGTTATCAAGATTGTGACGATGCAAGTGCGTTCAAATAAGTAATAATTAATAAGCTGCGTTACCGTCAAGATTCAAGTGGCGAGTTATTTTCAACAGAGAATAGAATTACAGTGCGAGAGAGAGGCAAAGAAAACAGAATATTTATTAATCTTTTGTGTCGCGCAACACACAAATACTTAATACATCGTAGTAACGGCGAAAGGATTAATTGCCATGTTGACGTGGACACGCGAACAATGTCATAATGAACGCAATGGTCGATACGCAGTTGAAATTATGAGCGGAAAACATATATGTTAGATTTATATATATATATACACACACAACGTGTGTGTGTGTGTGTATGTGTGTATATTCAGCGGAACGAAACAGTGTGTGGAAAAGGAACGACGCGCTCGTGACCAGGTTTAAAAACAACACCGGTTGTTCGTGGGTTGGCCGATTTAATGGCCGACCGCAAACGACATCGATGTTTCAACGTTGGCCGTTAAAAGGAGCTTTCATGTCATCCGGGGTCATCACGTCGTGAAACGCGAAACGTAATGGAACACGTAAACGTAAGTTAAATACCGACGTTCTCTTGGTACCGTGACGTCTACGTGGAGTCGCGTCCCAGCTATTTCTGAGATTAAGCGCGAGGGATGAAGATTAACGTACCGCCACACGATGTGTTATACGAGATACGGGTGGGCTACGTGCTTTGGGAAGGTCGTTGATTATTCCGTGGCAAAACTACCACTCGAGTTAATGCACAGTGGCTCTATAGTGGTAGTATCGCTCGGCAAACTTTAAAGATCTCATTCTCTGCACGAGACGGAGAAGAAATTACATGGCCCGAGGCCACTTCTAACACTCGTGACGAACGTTTTAAATGTGTTTTCAAGAGAAATTTTATATATATAGATGTGCATGTATATTCGCTGTGTGTATTAATTCCCGTCGTGGAAACTTCTTGCTACTGTAAGTTTTCGCGAGTGAAAGAGAACTCGACAAGAATCCCGCTGCCGGAAAGAATTTATCGACCCTGTTCCAGATGAAAGAAAAAGATACGAGGAAGAGAGACACGAGATTCGAGTTGCTAATGTGGTAGTTTTTTTCTTGAGTTTTTTAGCATTAAAATATAAACCTTTAAGAACTTGGGTAAATAAGTTGAGGAACTTTGTTCGAGAAATTATGTTGGTGTGTGTTTTTTTAATCATCTCTCCGGATGAGATGTTGTTTGATTATGAAAAACAAAGCAAAAAGATGTTCGTTAACCGTTAAATTGACAATGACAGATGTTTTGATAATCCATAATCATACAGGATCGATCATAGGATGCTTTAGTGCGACGCGATGTCGGCCACAAAGAATTAACACCAGAATACACGCGCGCGCACGCATTGACAATTCCGTGTGATATCTTTCATTATATATACGTTGGACCGGCGTTTGTAACGCGCCACCGCCCGCTGTCGTCGCTCATTGTCGTCATCGTCATCGCGAAATGCACCGTAGCACGACACACTTTGCGCATTCATAGAGAGAAAAGAACGCATAAAAGCGCGAACACACGTGTCTTCGGCGCCTTTTGTTTTTCGCTCGTTGTCTTTAGTAGCCGCGTGTCGTCATCCATTGTATTCCGTCGCCCGCAGCGGCGGACATTCACGCCATTACCCACTGTTCCTTTTAACGAAACGTTATATGTCAATGCAAGTAGATTAAGCGTATTTATATACGTAACGTTCCTTGCTTTGGCGTGTAAGGACGACGACGATGCCTCATTGAGGTGTATCACAGTCGTATACACACACAGTCGATCGGTTCGCTAAGCGCACACAAAGGACATTATCTCTGACGCTCAATCAAAATAAAATTGTATCTGTAGGATACTTCAATGCTGTTTCTCTCTCCTAATTTGTTGCTCGAGTACACCGATTGTTCCTGTCGGATTTTTACAGAATCACGCGTTCAATAAAAACAAACTCGAAAAACAACGAATAAAAAAATACAGATACGTAGGATTTTCGCAATGTTTTCTTTTCGAATATCGATCGTGTAATTTATCATTGTGCAGATAGTCTACGAGCCAATATGATGGATCGTACGTGAAAATACAATATATTTTTAAACGTGTAAATTAATACACGCTTAGAAATTTGAATTAATGTCGATTCACAAATTCGTCTAGGATTAAACAAAAATTTAAATCTCAAAATATAAATTACGCATTTTATCTCCCGATGAAATTTAAAATCTCATTGAGAAAGACATCTTACATTAATTTACAAATAATTAATATAAGGTCAATTACTTGCACGTCAAACACATTGGCTCGTATCGATCATGTAAGCTATTTGCTAATTATACATTATCAAGAGCTTAACTCTCAACGGACGGACATGGGTCGTTTTCGTCTGGACCAAAATTACTTTCTGAAGAAAATAATTTTCTTGTTGTCATATTTGCTAAAAATTATGAATTAAAACTTTTTTTCGCTAAATTTAATGATGGTATCTTAAAATAGGCAGTTTAAAGAGTATATACACATTGTTTCAGATTTTTTAAGAAATATTTAATATTTTTTAAAAGCCCAAGACGCGAAAAGGACCCATGTCCGGCGAATTAAGGTGCCGAAAAACACGCCGTCCGTTGAGAGTTAAATTTGTAGTTTTATCTTCGTGTTATTATGTTGATTAGATAGAATTCGCGTGATAATGATCGTTGCTTGAAAAATCGTCAACTATACAATTGACAATAAACGAAGATATCACATTTCGTATTTAATGAAGCGATAATACGAAAAAAAATATTAGGTACACTTTAAAAAAAAAAAAAAAAGTAACGTTTCTATAAAGACGTGTCGCGCGGTCTTTTCCTTTCATTTTATGTCTCGGATAATTTGTTTTCACATTGTTAATATTTGCGGAGCCGAACGATATTACTACTCAACTGTGCAAACTTGACTGTGTAACTGTGTAAACCGAGTAACACGATACTATCGACGAATAGTGGTAGGGAAAACTGCTGTGTCTTGAACATATGTGTATGTAGTTATACATCTTGTGTACCTTAGACCTGTCATTTTCAGAATAACCTGTTGAATTTGTTCAAATTTGGTTTAAATTGTGTATAATTGCGTCCGCGTACGCCCGATGAGCAAAGTGAAAAAAAAACATACCGGCAGATGATTGCACATTTTAGCACACATACGTATAAATAATTGTCTTTAACAACAAATTACCTGTTCTTTCGACATAGATTTTGCCGTCGGAGTGATTTAAGTTTAAGTGTAAAACTGGGTGTCGGTTTGACCTCCACGCGTCTTTAAGTTAAACAACGAAGGCGAAGAAAGTTACATATTGCGTTGTAGTTTTAATAAAACTGGCGCAACACATAAAGAAATACTTTGACTGTAAATAATTTAAAAGCGCGAAATAAATCGCAGAAAAAGTCTTTCCACGTGTCTTGTACGTGGTGTCTCTAATTTTCATGATGTACTTCGACAACTGGGACACATTGCGACAGACCGCGCCGACAGTGTAAAACTTAATTAAAA